GGCAAATTCCAAATGGAAGTGATCAATTCCTATCCCCTTGGAGTGAGCAGGGCACATGCGTGCCATTATGTAGTCACCGTGCTGCGTTGTTATGGGAATATCCCAACTGAAGATAATGAGGAAATTACATCGCTCCCTTTGCCCTTTGCTATGAAGGAGAATGGAACGATGGGAGATGTCGTTTTCACCATCATGGAATTCACGAATCATGTTCAATATTTCATATTTACAAATACTTGGGAACTTTTGGGATAACGTAAGTACAGAACTCCATGAAATATATTACACTGAGCAAGTTGTTTTTGGATATTTTATTACTAAAATCTTACATACTGTGCCTTTTAATTATTATTGTTTATATTGTTCTTTTGCTATTAGGGTGAAATACATTGAAACATTTCTTTACCGTTTTAATATTCACTATGCTTTTGTAAATCTTTTTCTCATGTTTAGACAGAAAGAACCTGAGAGAAAGTGGACGTATACCTTTTTTATGTCTGATTCCAGAGCCCTCGCCCTCCTCCTCTCTCTTCCTGCAGCTGAGCTCAAACATGTTGACTGACACACTGGAGCGGATCTCTTTCTGCGCCAGCTCCATTCGATCATAGAAGACCTTGAAGAACTTCTCAGACTTCTTCTGCTTGTGCAGCTGACTGTAGAAAGAGTTCTGCAGGGAGACATGCAGAAAATGACTAGTGGTCGACCGATATATGGCCTATTTGGCATTTTTCAAATATCGGCATTGGCCGATAAGTTTTTCTGTTTGGCCGATGCGTTCGAGGCGGGACTTTTATTTTGACGGCGCTGAGAGCGGCAGCGCCTGAGCATACAGTGCTCACGTTCTCCCTCTTGTTCGCTTTCGTCGTTAACTGTTCTGTCTAATAGGGATAAAAGTCTGTCTAATAATCCGATAGAACTGTTAAACAAAGGATTTAAAATGTATACAAATAGTATTATAACAATTGTTTTTATATTATTAGTAATAGAAAGGCAAACATTATAATACTTTCTCGTTTGCCGTCAGCATTCAGCAAATATGCATTTACATTATTTAAACAAATCTTTGAATGGCTAATGAAAATAAAATTTCACAAACCTTGCAAACTTGTTGTGCGATCTTGTGAAGTGTGTTCTCTGCGTGACTTTTGGTCTGTGCTAATTGAATGCTTCAAAAATTAAATTCGTGATTTCAAATTATGCTGCGCTTTATGCATTTGCCCACTGTCATATCAATGTCATTTTCACTTTGTGCTGTTTGTAAAATGAGTGTTACCTTGGCTTTATTTGAAAAAATATGATTCCCAATGCACACAAACTTCCCAGAATACTGAGTGCTCTGTTGGTTACAGTTTACTTCCTTTTTAATTATATTTTTATCAAATATGTATTTATTTGTGGAAAATACTTTGTCATCTAAAGTATAAGTATGTTTATTTTACAAATTTATTTTTAATCCATTTTCAAATTATTTCAAATTTCTTAAATATTAATTAAAATAAATACAATTATATCGGCTTTATATCGGCCACCCTGCTTTCCAAGATATCGGCATCGGCTATCAAAAAAACATTATCAGTCGACCACTAAAAATGACATCACCTGAATCTTACAGATGTCCCGTTGTGAATGTGTGTCCTGTTTATACCTGAATCTGTGTATTTCCTCCTCTCAGGAGTGCAATGCCCAGTAAAATGCTCTCCTCAAAGATACGGTCGTTCTTAGTGCTGACGATGAGGTCGATGACCAGCTCGGATGCTCCAACGTTGTCCAGAGCACATTGGATGTCTACTACGCTAGTGCCTGGCTTATCAGAGTCCTGTCCTGGAGAACCACCTATGTACACACACAGAACACTGTTGAGTCAGGTATGAGATGAGCAGAAGTTGGGCGAGGGGATGTATATGGTGAGCCAACTTTTAAAAAATCTAAAAAAAAAAATGTTTGAGACCATCTTAGAAAATGTATCTTTTATGAATTTATCACTAACATTTCAACCCCAGCTCCACTTGTAAAAAAACAAAAACAAAAAAAAACACTGAGGAGGCAGAAAATTAACACAGAAAATAATAACCTTAATTAATATAATAAAATATAGCTGAACCCATAACATTCCTTAATTTATTATTAATTTGTAATTATTAGTAACTAGTAATTAATTACTTTTTGAGAGTAACTTACCAAACACTGATTGAAAAACATTAAAAATAAAATAAAAACAATTAAATAAAAAATGTAAAAATTAATAAAACAATCTAAAATAAAATACAACAAAATAATAAAATAAAAAAATCTAATTAAAATATAAAATAGAATAGTGACATAAATAAATAAAAAACTAAAAGGAATATAAAATTAAAAACCATAAGTAATAAAATGGCTCAAATAAAAAAAGATTAATTAATAAAAACAAATCAAAATTAAATTAAAATTAAAAACTGAAATTTATTTTATTTTATCATTTAAAAAAATAAAAATAAAAATGAAATGAAATGAAATAAAATAAAATTATTAACAATAAAAAAATTGGATAAAATAAAATGTTGAGGTCATCAAAATGTTAGTTTACTTCTAAATATTAACTTACATTATTTCCCTTCTGAAAAAAATAGACTAAAATATTGATAACTCAAACTGCACAATACATTCTACAAATTTTGTCCATTCAAATGTCAGAACGACAATGTCCCTCCTGCTAACAACACCTGCAACTGACTATTAAATAGCAAATAACTATTCATGAATACCCTGTGGATGGCCAGGAAAGGAGTAAGGTGGTGGACAGAACATGACATTCTACTGACTTCACCCTTCCACACTGTGTCACCCAGGAGGATAATGAAACCCAGGGTGGCTGTGTGGCCATGCATGCGCCGACACTAGAGTGGCAAACTGCCACAGAAAGAAGACACTTTTCTCTCTCACTCTGACAAGCACGTGTTGTTGCTGTTCCCACTCTCTCAGTAAACACTCATCAGCAGTCAGCACAGACTGTGTCTGCTTCCACTGTCTGGACGAGCGGTCACACACACACACACTCGCACTCTATTAAAGAAATAGCTCATCCAAAAATTAAAATCCTGTCATCATTTACTCACTCTCATGCTGGTTTCAAACCTGTATGACTTTCTTTCTTCTGCAGAACATTAATAATATAATGATAATATTTTGCAGAATGCTGGTAAACAAACCATTTTGGCGATCATCGACTTCCACTGTTCAGTATAATGGAAGAAAATAAATACGGAGACATTTTTCAAAATATCATCTTTTGTGTTCCACAGAAGAAAGTAAGTCACTCAGGTTTGGAACGACATGAGCGTGACTAAATTATTTTTCATTTTTTAGGTGAACTATGTCTTTAAGTTTCAGAAACCATCATAATTAACCATATTTGCCCATATTCAGGGCGTCTTCATATCATTTTCTGCACCTGTTCACTGTAATTGGACATGCTTTACTAGAAGCTGCTCTCTTTCCTACAAAACCAGCTATAATAGGGGAGTTTAGTGTCTCCTGATGCTGCAGTCTTTCCTGCACTTCTGCACAGGACTTGATGGGAAGACCGAGGAGGAAAGTGAGAGATGAAGGTAGCAGTGCCAGTCTGACTCATCCATTTGCTGCTGCATGGCAGAGAAAAAAACCCTGCGCAGGTGAAGTGAGGACAAAAGAGAGAGAGAGAGACAGAAAGCAAAAAAAAGACAGATATGAGATAGAGAGAGAGAGAAGGGGAGGTGAGGGAAAGATGGAGGGATAGATAGAGCAGTGGGGAGGAAAAAACAGACAGGCTGACTTTTTTTAAAATGTGCACGGGCACGCCACACTGCGGCTGGCCTGGCTAAGCCTGGGATGCTCCAGCAAGCTTCAAAAAAAGCCCTCCACTGCTGTATGCAGGTACCGGAGAACTCAGGATGAAGGGATCTAGAGAATAAAAGGGAGAGAGACACAGCAAAAGGGAGGGGTGCTCTGCGCTGCTGGACTCATCAAATCAGGGCTTGTCTTAGGCCTCAAGGCACACCCTTGGGTCATATCGCCTCCCGTTACAACACATGGGGCTCCTCTCTAAGGTTACAGCTGCCAGGCTTTCTTCTCCAAGTTTTGGATGTGTTAAAAAATTGAATAGAGAAGGGAAAAACGGAGAAAAATAAATAAAAGTATAAAAAAGATGACAAAATGTATTCATTTACACACACATATATGGCAAACACTTTTTCACACAGGGCCATGTAGTTTTGGATTTTGTTTTCCCTTAATAATAAAAACCTTCATTTAAAAACTGCATGTTGTGTTCACTTGTGTTATCTTTTACTAATATTTAAATTTGTTTGATGATCTGAAACATTAAAGTGTGACAAACATGCAAAAAAATAAGAAATCAGGAAGGGGGCCAACACTTTTTCACACCACTGTATATATGTATTAATTACATAAATAGTATGTCACACTTTATTTTAAGGTCCATTTCTCGCTATTATCAAACCATTAACTATGACTTTTGCCTTAATAAACTCCTAATTTGCTGCTTATTAATAGTTAGTAAGGTAGTTACTATGTTTATGTATTGGATAGAATTAGGGCTGTAGAATATGGTCGTGCAGAATATGTGCTTTATGTCGGCGCCAATAGCCTCATGGTTAGTGCGCCGACATGCAGCGCAACTGCGCTCACACCGACCCGAGTTCGATTCCCGAGTTCGATTCCCGTCTTGCGGTCCGTTGCCGATCCTGCCCCCCCTCTCTCTCCACCCAATGCTTTCCTGTCACCTCTCTACTCTCCTGTCCCAATAAAGGCAGAAATCGCCCATAAATATAACTTAAAAAAGAATATGTGCTTTATAAGTGCTAATAAACAGCCAATATGTTAATAATAGGCATGCTAATAAGCAACTAGTTAAGAGTGAGTATTGGTCCCTATACTAAAGTGTTACCAAACATTATTTAATATATATTAATTAAATTGATCAAAGGTGACAGTAAACACTTTTATAGTATATCGTCACAAAAAGTTATATTTTAAATAAATGCTGTTCTTTTGAAATTTTATTGATCAAAGAATTCTGAAAAAAAGTGTAATGATTTCCATAAAAATATTAAGCAGCACAACCGTTTTAAACATTCATAATTGAATGCCAATTCAGCATATTAGAATGATTTCTAAAGGATTCAAAGGATTCTGGAGTCTTCAGTCCTAAGCATAGGACACTTACAATACATATAATATATAATAGATATAAAATAAACATAAAATTTATTAAAATAAATGCAGCCATGGTGAGTATAAGAGTTTTTCCAAAATATTTTTTAATTTCTGACCGAAAAAACATTTGCAGTACAATAATATATGTTCAGAGTGATAAAATTATATTATTAAAGTCTGTGAAAGGTGAGGGGTATGACAACCAAATGATTTAAGCCAGAGAACTAATTTGATGTGTTTTATCCATTGAAGCGGTTGTGTAAACATCTCACACAACACAAAAGGCCTTCAAAACAACTTCATTGGCACTTTAAAATTAATGGACTGAAACTTTTCTACGATGCACTCCCATTTTTAAGAGCAGAGGGAGGAGTATGACTTTGGGTGGAACAGATTTATGGAAGAGAAAGAGTGTGAGAGAAAAATCAATACACCTAAAATCTCGTCAGGCAGTCTAGACATGAACACCATGATCACATCTTCTCAGAGTCGAGATCTTGCATAACAGAAATCAGGAAAGAATGAGAGAAAGATACTAGTGAATTTATTAAAGGATAGCACACTCAGAAATGATAAATAGTTCACTTTTATAGTGCTTTTGCATCGTTTTTGAAGCTTAAAAGCATCCCAGGATGCAAAACCACCATGGAAAACTATTAGAAATTAAATTTAAATCTATTAAAACTGTTGCATATATGTAGATGAAATTAAATGAAAATGAATTAAAAGTGTTTATTATTTAGATCTGCTCACTTTGCATCAGAGTTGAGCATTATAACCACTAAATCACACACATTTCTTTTGAGTTTATGAATGCAACGGCCAATCAGGGGAGTTTAGATTAGTCATTGCAGTGAAAATGCAGTTTTGTTCAGTATACATGCTCTCACAAATTTTCTCATCATAAACAACAAAGTGCAGATACGATGCAAGTAAGAGATTCATTTTGCAGTGTGCTTGAGTGATTGTTTGCAGAACTTGTGCTAGACTGAAGTTACAGCACGCTTCAGTGGTGGGGAACATTCTTGCTTGCTTTCTGCAATGTATTTTAATTATTCCCAGTTTGTTTGTTTCAACTAAAATAACCTGACTTTCTGCAGGCTATAGTGTTGTAAATTGATTTAAGTTGTGTTTTGTTTTATATGAAATACTTAAATTCAACCAACGTACATTTAGTAATTATAAAAAAGTCCTTACAAAAGGTAAAAAAAAAGCAGCTGGAAGTCAATTAAGGGGGGCAAATATTGCCTCTTAATGTAAAAGTTAAATTTCCGATCCTGTATGAAAGTAATTTGCACTTTATACCAAGTCTTCTGAAGCCAAAATGTAAGTTATTATTCACTTAATAGCTCTCACGACTCATGAGAGTGGAACGAATTATTCTTTTGAGTTAGATCATTTCATTAAATCTGGTTTACAAAACTGTTCTGAATGACTAATTCACATGTGAATTTCCTTATGCAATTCTAAAGTCTTCAGAATACATTCTTTTACTTTAAGAAAATTTCAAGATCTTGATCATATGCTACATTTGCATTGGTTATGGCCTTGACACCTTACACTATTCTCCAATATCAATCTCCCCTAGCACTTATCTTCTCTCAGTCAGGAGGACAAGGGGAGAGTCTCTAAGTCTGGGT